CCCCCCTTTCCTTTGTTTTCTTTGTTTCTTTTAAATCTTTTTAAACCATTATTTTTAAGAAAATCAGCTCATTTTAGTTCCTTTTTCTTATTTTTGTTATTTGTAACCATTACGTGAAAACCCCCTCTTATTTGAAGCCTCTATTTGCCTATATGTTATTTGCACTAAAGTCACAATAATTGCCTGGATGGGAACCACACTAGTGGATCCTGAGGGGTGCCTAACACCTTCCTCTCGGGATAATTTCAAGCCCTTACCCAATCTCTGGTTGTTCAAATCAAACCTTTCTTAGTGTCCTAATGCACTTAAATCATTAGGTGGCAACTCTTCTATTCAAACCCAATTCCCAAAAGGGAACGAGTTGTCCTCCCAAATGTCATAAAACCGATTTTACGAGAAAAAGGGGGCGCGACACTCACTTATTGAAAAAACAAACATCACTGAAAATCTCAAATAAAGCAAATGACAAACTCAAAAAAACTGGATAAACTCTTCCCTGGTGACAACTGATAATGGCCTCCAATTAATTAGCTGCAGAAGTATCCCACCGTCAGCGTTAGCAACAACATTCAAATCATTCATTACGCAACTTTCTTCAGATGAAGATGGACGAAGAGCAACAAAATTGGGCGATGTACTAAGATTCAGAATTTCTTGAATTATATCCAAAAGTTTCTCCAGTTTTGCCTTCTGAACAATCAACCGTTCAAATTCCTTATTGCAATTAGATTCAACTATATCAGAATAATTATTTTTGCCATCATTTAGTTTCAAGTTTAGAAACTTATCTGCAATTGCATCAAAGTTACGAGGAGATCCATATGTATATGTTTTTTCACTTGGGCAGAAGAGAAGAAGACCAACTTCAGCACCCGTCGTAATCGAAAGTTCATGTGCTTTTATGAAAATGATTGCCTTTGTCTTTGCGAAAGTTGTTAAGCATTCAACCGTAGATTCTAGCGCCTTTATTTGTGCCTTTTTCCGGCTCAAGCTCTTGTTTTTTGCCATTGCAAAAGCGTTAAAAGAAAGCGGAAAGAAGGTAGTTTTACTATATTGGCGCTTGAGATATTCTGAGGAGAAAGTCACTTCATTTATAGGCGGCAACATTCTTTTTAAAGTATTTTTTATTCCATTTTATTAATGAATTACATATTATGTGATTTTTTTTAGATATTTACAACAATCCAAAATACTATAATATTATTATTCCTAATTTTGAAGGAACTAGAGTTATATTTAATTTTCATTCAAGTTACCATCTCCATTATTTATATTTTAGAAGTATGCTAGAAAATTGGTTTGATTACCATGTTAAATTAGATCTTTTAATTTTTTTTCTCAATAGATTACTCCAACTAAATAGATTAGCTACTTTTAGTTAGTTGTTTGTTACTTTCTTAGATTGATGAAGTATGTACCTTTATTATTTTTCAATTTTTTGCATCATTTTTACCAATTTAGTTATATTCTCAAAATTCTATTGATATGTCATGATGCTCATTAAATAAATTAATATCTATAAAGCATATATTTGTTAGATTTCACACCTAATCTATTGGATGTTCAAATAGAAAACTTCATCTAATTATACATTACTTGATGGACATACAATATTTTAGTTAAACCCTTATAAATGGTACTCTTCCTACCATAGAGATTAGGTTATTATCTCGAGGAAATTTCATGGGTAGTCATCTAAATTTGTGTTAATTAACAAAAAGTTATTTTTTTATTTTTTGGTTATGTAAATGTCATTCAATTTTGTGTTCGTTACCGAAAAGTCGATTGCGCTCTTGACATTATAAATTCTCTCATTTATGTAATATCTTCTATATTATATATTATGTTTCTACCTAAGTATTTAATAATAATTAAAATAATTCTATATTATTTTATTTATTATTTTTATAATATATACGTATATTTAATAGTGCAAGTAAGCCCAATCCTACGGGGAAGTTCTCCAACATAAAGTTAGGCAAAATATTTATCTCAACTAATCCAAATCAACACTCAAAAATAGATTTTCCTTTAATTTTTGGCTCCGCACGACTCAAATCTAACAAAAAACTACTTAATATCATCAAACAATGCAAGAGAATCCAATTTTGATTAATAAAGCTAAGATCTTTACACAATTACCCAAAAGTCAACAAAGTCTACCCGGGACCATCCGGTTAAAACCCTACTCCAAGGGTAGATCTTGACTACCCATAACCCTATAAGTATATATAAGTATTTTGTTTTTAAATCTGAGTCCAATTCGACTCACCCAAAAAATTTCTTAAAATTCCATGGATTAGAGGTTAAATCTCATAAACAATCATGTAAAATAATTAAAAACGATCAAAATCACTTACCCAATATTTTTATGTGAAAATTCCTCCTCCAAATTGCTTCACATCGAGTCTACGGTTCTATAATATAAAAACTAAGTCTCATTTTTTAGCTCTTTTATTCAGGTGCAGAAGTCGCAAATGCGACCCTAGGTTCGCAATTGCAAACCCTCGCAAATGCGAAAAACACCTCGCAAATGCGGCGCCTGACAACCCAGGAAAATGTCGCAAGTACGGCCAAATATTCGCAATTGCGACCTACCCAGCCAAATCCTTTCTTCACAATTGCGAGTAAGGTATCTCATTTGCAATATGTGAGCCTCCCTGCCTACATCGCAATTGCGATGCTAGTTCTCGCATATGCGATAGCCGGAGCACCAGCACACTAGCAACTTGAAACCAGCTCAAACTATTCTGAAACTCACCAAAGCCTTCGGGGCTCCACACCAAACATCTACACAAGATTAAACACATCATACGAACTCGCTCGTACAATCAAAATACTAAATTAACATCTATAACAACGAACCGTACGTCAAAACACATGAAATTCAAAAGGAAACTTGAGAATTTCTAGAAACACAACCAGGCGTCCGATTCATATCAAACTAACTCAGAATTACACCAAATTTTATAGACAAGTGACAAATAACAAAACACACCTATTTCAAGTCCCGAAACAAAAATCCGTCCTCGATAGCCATAAAGTCAACCTACGGTCAAACCTAAGGAATTTCTAAACCTTCAAATTACCAACTTTCGGCAAAATAAGTCAAATGAACATAGGGACCTCCGAATTCAATTCCGGGCATATGTTGTTACGCCCCACAGTATTACGTCAATATTATACCCCGCAGTATTATATTACGATGATGTCACACCCTAAAGTATTATGTTACGATGATGTTATACTCTGCAGTATTATATTATGACGATGTTACACTCCGTAGTATTTTATTATGATGACATTACATGTAGTATACATGAAATTGTCATAAGATAATTGACCTCAGTTCAAGGAGAAGATTATTTGGAGATTATAAGCGTTATGCTATTTCAGACAAGAGATAAGTAAATTCGTGAAGGTGAGAGGGTAAGCAAATCGAAAAAAATGCGTTTCGTCAAAGTTTGCCATTTTGGAATAAAATACATCCCGAGCTAAAATACCCGATATTTATAGACTAGTACCATTCAAGGTACGACATGGCCATGATAGTAAGGTTTATAGAGTGTATTAAAGGTGAGTGGTATTTTAAGTAAAGTGGGACAATTCTTAATTATGCGGGTAATTTGTTAATTATCGGGTAACGGGACATTACCTAATTAACTGGGGATATATTGGATAAGCATTAAAAAGCATGAGATGGCAGCCCCTCCTTTTAATTTAAATTGACTCATAAGTCATTACAAATAGGTGGCAACTAAGTTAGCCAAGAAAGGGACACCACATTCTTATCATTATTACACAAGTCTTACCATCACAACCTTAGAAATTCTTTATAGTTCAAAGATATTAGAAGTTGGTAATCCAAGAACATTAGACATTTCAAAGCTTTCTTTCTTATATCTTGGAAACAATTTACAATCAAAATGATAGAAATATTGACAATTCAAGCTCCTACAAGATATTAACAACGAGAATTCTTGCATCCAAATTCTCCTATAAAGAATATTATACGGATTTTTCCCTTCTCCGTGTATGTTAAGGCTACCCCTTCTTTCTTCAACTTCCATAAAACACTCTGTTCGTAGAAATGCTAGAGATATGTATATCCTTGTTCTCCCATGTGTCATATTATTCTATGATCTGTTCATGGGTCTTAAAAATACGTAAGTTGGTAAAGTTTATTTCATGATATTAATCAGATGCATAATGGTCTTATGATGTACCGAGAGGTTTTATTAACTTATTTTCACGTGCATTTCATGCATTTACATATGCACATTAACCCATGACCAGACTGCGTTATATACGTGTATATATGTATATGATATTTATATGGGATATGGGAAAGGTTATGGCATTATATACACACCACCACCTGATCAGCTGGAATACGTTGATGATTTTGCCCACAGTGGCCGAGATGATATGATGGGATGACCTCAGAGGATGATGATGTTATGAAGCATGTACCTATGCATGACATGACATTCATACGCATATGCATGACACTATAAGTATTTTATGATTTACAAATTTTTGCAGACTTACATGTTGAGTTATTTACCGTATATTTCTTTCATGTCTGTTATGTACTTATTTATGTGCCTTACATACTCGGTATATTATTCGTACTGACATCCGTTTTTCCTGGGGACGCTGCGTTTCATGCTTGCAAGACCCGATAGATAGGTGGAGAGCCCTCCAAGTAGGCTATCAACTCAGCGGAAGATGTTGGTGCGCTCCATTTGCTTTGGAGTTGCTTGTTTGGTTAGTATGATTTAGACGTGTACTATTTGGTATGGCGGGATTCTGTTCCGACCTTTATGAAAATTATGTATTCCTAGAGGCTTGAAGACAGATGTCATGTATGTAAAAGATTGTATGGCCTTGTCGGCCTATGTTCAGTATACGAGTGGTTATTTTGGCCTTATAGGCATGTATGTCTTATGTATAAATTGGTATCACATGTTGTATTCTACTTAACTCGTGGCAGCCTTACGGCTCAGTTATCTATGATAGTATGACATGAAAAGATACGTTATGTTGGTACTCAGCTGAGTAAGGTACCGGGTACCCATCGAGGCCCATCAATTTGGGTTGTGACAAAAGTGGTATCAGAGCAGTTTTGTCTTAGGAAGTCTACAAGCCGTGTCTAGTAGAGTCTTGTTTATGGGTGTGTCGTGCACCACACTTATAACCAGGAGGCTACAAGGCATTTAGGACTGTCACTCTTTCTTCCTACTCTAGATCGTGTGGTAGAGCTCAGTTGTAAGAACTCAATTTTCTAACCTCTATCTTACTTATAGTACGACGATACCTACATCTAGAAAGACAGTTGGTAAGAGATATGGATGTGGAAGAGTTGAGTCAGAAGAACTCGACTTTGCATCATGCTTATGATAAGTAAATGTGAGGTCGTCAGCAGATCATGTGTATACTAAGATGTGTAAGCTTCTTGATAAGAATCCCCAAGGCAAGGATGCCAATCCACTCTTATGGTAAAAAGGAATAAGGAGGGATACACAAGTTTTAGCAAGTAAAGGAAGCAAGGTGAAGAAGGGTACGAGGTACCCAGTTAATGAAGATTATCAATATTACAGTTCCGGCAGAAAAATATAAGCATTGTGAGTTACCCTCAATAGTAACAGAGGTATGTATAATTGGTCACACCCATCTCAGTTATACCATATTGGGGGATAAATGGTGTAGATTAAGAAAAGGATGGGATATCACAATCTGGATGGGGTTAGAGTGGCCCAAAATAGTGAATGGATTGTTTGCTTTAGTTGACATTTCCGAAAGATATTGCAAATGTGCTAATAGATCTCCTCGTGAGACACCTAGATAGTGCACCCTAATATAGTAAAGCTAGATATGAGCACTGGAAGCCTTGAAGAAATAAATATTACCTTAGTGTGGCTCCCATCCCCAGTAAAGAAAGAATGTTAGGCAATTCGAAGAGCCAAGGGATGGAGCAAGGGGAGCCAAAAGCAAAAGAATATTTT